AAGCCAATCTATTATTTGGCTGAAAGGTGACCTACAGAAATAGCTTCAATTTCAAGCTCAATGGGTGTCTTAGGACAATAGTCTCAGGGGTTCCTCTAGCCTCTATTGTCAGTAGGTCTGGCTTTTTTTAGGAATTTGAGTTTTCTTCTACATTTTTCTCGCATTCTATCTGGAACGTTCTATTATGTCCCTGGTCAGAATGGTTGGTAGTGGTAGCTGAAAACCATCTAGTTCTTCTGGTCTCATGTTAGAAAAGGCTGTGGTTTGTGTGGGCTATTAGTCTTGTGGACTAGTTTCTTCTTCAAGCCTTTAATTTCCTTCATTCTCTTTTGCTCCATACAAGTAGAGACCAATATTTGTATCTTAGATGACTACTTGCAAGCTTTTAAGATCCCAGACGCTACTCACCAAACTAGGATATAGAATATTATCTTTATGAACTATGCTATGCCAGTTGACTAAGTTGTCCCCCGAGACTATGGTCCCAGGCCTTTTAACGCAGTAAACCAATCCTGCGAGTTGTTTGGGTATGTCTTGGAAGCCTCCATAACTATGCCCCCATGGGGTTTGTTAGATATATAGATATATACGCAGCACACACAAATGTGTATATACATATGCCTACAGATAACACCTATACCTGCGTGTGCATTTACTCGTATATGCCTTCCTATACACATATATGCATCCACATCTAACTATGTAACCACACACCTATTTTTGATTGTTTTTACTGTTGTTGCAACATTGTATATGTTATAGCATTTACCAAAATTGTTCTTATTTCTTGTGTGCTTCTTAATGTCTGTATTTACCTTGGTCAGGTTGTGCTGACTTCAGCCATATTTGGGATTGCCTTTCCCATCACCAAAAGTAACAAATGTCTAGTATCTAGAAAGTGATTCCCTCTTCTTCTCCTTCCCGTTCCTGGTAACCATCAAAGAAACTTTGCTTTCTGTATGTATATATCTGTTCTTGACTTTTTATAATAGTGGGACCACATAATATTTGTTTTTTTGTGGTTGACTTATTTCACTAAGGATAACATTCTCCATATTCATCCATGTTATGTTTCACAGACTCCTCATTATTCTTTATAATTGCATAGTATTCCATTGTAGATATGTACCACAATTTTTTTATCCATTCATCTGTTAATGGGCACTTAGGTTGTTTCCATCTTTTTGCTATTGTGAATAATGGTGCAGTGAACACAGATGGGCAAGTGTATATTTGTGTCACTGCTCTTGTATCTCTAGAATATATACCTAGGAGTGGAATTGCTAGATTATAAGGTATTTCTATTTTTAGATTTTTGAGGAATTTCCATACTGTTTTCCATGGTGGTGATACCATTTTACAATCCTACCAGCAATGTATAAGAGTTCCAGTCCCCCTACAACCTTGCAAGCATTTGTTGTTTTCTGTTTTTTGATCGTTGCCAGTTTTGCAGGGATGAGACGGTATCTCATTGTAGTTTTGATTTGCACATCTCTAATGGCTAATGATCGTGAGCTTCTTTTCATGTATTTATTGGCCACCTGAATGTCCTCTTTGGTGAAGTGCCGGTTCATGTCCTTTGCCCATTTTTTTGATTGGATGTTTGTCTTTTTGTTTTGAGTTGTTGAAGTTTTCTATATATTTTAGAGATTAGACCCTAATCAGATATATTGTTGCCAAAGATTTTTCCTCAGTCTGTAGGTTATCTTTTTACTCTCTTGTTAAAGTCTTTTGATGAACATAAGAATTTAATTTTTAGGAAGTCTCATTTATCTAATTTATCTTCTTTCATTCATGCATTTTTAGTTTTTTTTTGATAGGCTATTTATGTCAAAAATTAGGTCCCCTAGTTTTGACCCTATGTTATCTTCCAGGGACTTTATAGTTTTAGCTTTAACATTTAGGTCTTTGATCCATTTTGAGTTAGTTTTTGTGTATGGTGTGAGGTATGGATCCTGTTTCATTTTTCTGCATATGGATATCCAGTTTTGCCAGCACCATTTATTAAAAGACTGTTTCTTCCCCCATTGAATGGACTTTGACCCTTAGTTGAAGATCAGCTTCCTGTAGATGGATGGATTTACTTCTGGGTTCTCAATTCTATTCCATTGGTCTATGTGTCTGTCATTGAACCAGTACCAGGCTGTTTTGATTACCGTGTCTGTATAGTAAGTTTTGAGATCAGGAAGTGTGAGGCCTCCTACTTTGTTCTTCTTCAATGTTGCTTTAGCTATTCAGGGCCTCCTTCCTTTCCATATAAAGTTGGAGATTAGTTTTTCCATTTCATTAAAGAATGTTGTTGGGATTTGGATCAGGATTGCATAATATCTATAGATTGCTTTTGGTAGTATTGAGATTTGCACAATATTAAGTCTTCCAATCCATGACCGTGGAATATTTTCCCATTTATGTGGATCTCTCTTAGTTTCTTGCAGTAGTGTTTTATAGTTTTCCTTATATAAATATTTTATATCCCTGGTTAGGTTTATTTCTCGGTATTTTATCTTTTGGGGGCTATTGTAAATGGTATTGTTTTTTTGATTTCCTTTTCGGAGTCCTCCTTGTTAGTGTTGAGGAACCCAACTGATTTTTGTGTGTTGGTCTTGTACCCTGCCACATTGCTGAATCCTTCTATTAGTTCCAGTAACTTTCTTGTGGAGTCTCTGGGATTTTCTGTGTATAGGATCATGTCATCTGCAAATAAGTATAGTTTAACTTCTTCCTTTCCAATTTGGATACCTTTTATTTCCCAGTAAACTTATTTCTTATTTTATATGTGGGGCACTCTTACCAGGGTGTTTTTTATACATAGATGTTGGGTTGTTTTTTGATCTTTTGAAAGTAAGTTAAAAATTATAAGATTAACAGCTGTTTCTCTTCATCTTGTCATGCTCTTACAAATCACATTTTGCATCTTCGGATTTTGTTCAGTGCTGTTTAGGCCTTTTCTCTGGAGTTGTGGATTATGCAACTATTTGGCATTGTAGCAGAATTTAGTTTTACCTGCTGATGCAAGAGAGTAATGATCCTCATGTACAAGACAGTCTGTCTTTTCAAAAAGATGGTTTAGAAGTACTAAGATAAAGAAGGCTTTTTACAGACAGTTTCATCATCAATGGATCATCTTTGTAGCTAACCAGTCCATTTGACGGGTTGATATTTTGCCTAGGGGGCTCTTTTGCCCTCTTGTAAATGACCCTTTTACTTACACCTCACACCCTTGTGAAGTCCAGAAAGGTTACCCTCTCTCTGGGTATGAAATACCCCAAATTCACTTCATAGAACTCTAGAATGTTGGAGCTGCAGATCACTTGGGTTCCAAAAAGTCTTCACTGATTTGTGCAGCCTCATTTTAGAGTTGTAGAAACAGAGACTCAAGTATGTGAGTGATGTGCCTAATGCTAAACAGTGATTGAATATCAGATCTTCTGGAACTTGAACCAGAAGCTCTTGAATCTTAGTCTCATGCCCTTTAATGGTACTGTATGGCTTTTGATGAGTTTTTGGGAATGTATCAGATTGTCCTAGGACAAGTAATACTGTAAAGCTTTATTGGGAGGTTACATGAGGGAATGGGAGCAGAAGACCTGGCTTCTGGACCCAGCTTGTTTCCTTATTAGTCATGTGATCTTGCAAAAGTCACTTGATATCTCCTATCCTTGATTAATTTATCTTCTAGAACAGTTCTGTTTAATAGAAATATAATACCAGCAACATTTCAAAATTAAAAAGTAACAAGTGAATTAATTTTAATAATATGTTTTACTTAATCTGTTGTATCTGAAATATTATTTCAGCATGAAGTCAATATGGAAATTATTAATAAGCTATTTTACATTCTTTTTTTATTTTTTGGCACTAAGTGTTTGCAGTCTATTGGTGTATTTTTTACTTACAACACATCTTAATTTGGATGAGACACATTTCAGGTGCTCAATAGCCACATGTGGCTAGTGGCTACTATATTAGACAACACAGTTGTAGAACCTTAAAATGTTAGAGTTGGAAAAACTTCTAGAAATCATGCAAGGAATCAAAACTGACAACCCATAGGCCAGATTGTAGCCTCTGGCCTCATTTTGTTTTGTTTTCAGTTAAAAAAGCTTGAATGTGAATGCCTTTTAGAGAAGCATGTTCTTTCTGGATTCCATAGTTGCCCACCCATCTCTCTTGTTACCAGTGCCATCAGTTATATTGCCTGTCCTTCTAGACCAGTCATTCTCCCTTCCAATTTTCAGCTGGTGAAACTAAGGCTTCCAGAGGAAGTGATTTGTCCAAGGTCACATACCAGATCCAGGAATAGAAGCCGGAGTCACTTGACTCCAAATTTGCTCTCTTCCTTTTAAATCACAACGTCAGTCAATTGCATTTCTGCTTATATAGCACAGGATTGTTATGAGGTTCGAATGAGCTAAAGTGCTACATAGATGTGATGTGATAGTATTATATTTTTTGCTTGACAGGGCATATGCATTCAGTGAAATAATCTTGTGCTTAAAAAGTTTATGCTTCAGTAATATATCTTTTAACCTGTTATTTTTATAAGTTAATATATTTTTGCAAGCACATATTTAAAAAATGTAGAAAATAGAGAAACATCAGTCTTGCAGATGGTTGTTGTTGTTGTTAGGTGCCACTGAGTCAGTTCCGACTCGTAGCGACCCCATGTACAGCAGAACGAAACACTGCCTGGTCCTGCGCCGTCCTTACAACACCATGGTAGATGCTGAATAAATATTTGTTGAATGAATAAATGAAAAGTCACACATTCCCATTCCTTAACAAACGACTAAGAACATTTGGCCTTGTTTCCTATGTATAGAATTTGAAAAAATCTTCTATTTTATTGTTACACATTAATTTTGTATCTTGCTTTGCTCCACTCACCATTGCATCAGAAGTATAAAACTTCTTTTAACCACTTCTTTTTCAGACATATGCTGTTTTTCATCACTTTGGACTAATGTGCCTCTACTTCTTTTGTTCTTCTTCTTTTTAAGATGCAGGAGAGCTGTATGTTTGGGGGAGCAACAAGCATGGGCAACTGGCAACCCAGGCTGTTTTCCTTCCTGTGCCCCAGAAAATAGAAGTACATTGTTTTCAGAATGAAAAGGTCACTGCCATCTGGAGTGGGTGGACACACCTGGTCGCCCAGACAGGTGAGAGAGCAGCAGAAAATTTATGGTTGGTAAGAGCAGCTGGGGGGCAGCTGTCTCAACAGTCACAAATGCTTGGGATTAAGGAAGTTGATTTTTATTGATGAAAGCTTTAAGGACTGGAAAAGGGAGGACCTGGGGCCTAGTTCTGTTTTCAGCCAGCTATGTGGCTTTTCCTCTCTGGGTCACGTGTTTGCACCAAAAAAGGAAAGGCTAGATTAGGTTAACTTCTTCTGGTCCTGAGAGTCCAGGAGGTTTTGAGAAGGAATCCGCTGCAGCAAACATCACCCAGAAATTTGTCCAGATTGATTGGGGAGTCTTTGTCTTGTCATAGCTGAAGAGATGACTGTATTTGTATTTCCACCTGAGTCTAAGTCAAAAGCACCAGAAAATGTTAAGATAAGGATAAATATTTCAAGATTGAGGTGGGAGCATTATTTTAGATCATAGCTGGCATGGTGGTCTGAATTAAACTTTTATTGACCATAACAAACTATGTACGTTGATTTAGACATCCATATATTCCCTCAGGCTTTACTGTGTCATGCTATACAACTCTGGCATCTTTATCTTCTTTTGAGTCTTCATTTCTTTCTCATCTTTCCCTCAGAGCAGGACTCCTTTCCTGGCCTTCATAGTCCTGACTTACTCTCTGGTTTTGTTTTTTCATGGCCTTTCTTCATTTCTGCCTTCCGGAGCTCCTGCTGATTTACACAAAGTTCCCCAGACAGGGAATTTGTAATTCTTAAGATTTATTATCATGTCAAGGCCTTCTCAACTCCAGGGGTTTTCAGGAGTCCCCATACCTCATTTTATCCTGCTTGTCAGCTACACACAGACCTCTGGACTCCCAAATACCTAGAGACTGTTATTCCAGCACTTTCTGGGTTTTACAGGTTTTCAGGTCAGCTTCAGTTATCCTTGGTAAGTCTTACTTCACAATTGCACACACAAACATAGACTTACGGGCATTTGTATCTACGATGCTTTTAATTGGTCTTTAAAAAAGTTTTATAATCATCTAGGGACAGAAGCCTATATCACAAAGGTGTATAATAAACTTTCCACGTTTACCACTCCAAAGGATGCTCTAAAGAAAGTACGTGATTCATTTGGAGAAAAAGCATGACTGTCCTCAAAGAAGTTCAGACTGCTTGAAGATCAAGACCACCTACAGAAAATTTTCTTACAGAGACTTACCACAAACCAGTTGCTGTCAGTTGATTCTGACTCAGGCAACCTTATGTGTATGGAGTAGAACTGTGCGCCGTAGGGTTTTCAAAGCTGTGACATTTTGGAAGCAGATCACTAGGCCTTTCTTCTCAGGTGCCTCTGGGTAGGTTAGAACTGCCAACCTTGTGGTTAGCAGTCCAGCACTTAACCATGTGTGCCACCCAGGAACTCCATCACTGAGCATAGTAGCTGCTTATTTGTGTAATTGTTTGATACCTGTTTTTTTCCTCTAGACCACAAGTTTTGTGAGGGAAAGCACCACATTCGTTTTGCTCACTTCTGTATCTCCACTGCCTTGTGGAGAATTGTACTAATTTTCCTGCATCAAGCTGTTTCTAGTTAAGAGACTAAACATACTCAAATGCATATAAAGCATGGTAGAAGGCAAGGATTGCTGACTTCTTCATTAGCACTCAGTGCAAAAGCCTCTGGTTCGTGACAGAGGGCTTCAGTTTGTCTCTTTGGATTCAGGAGTCCAACCAAGTCAGTTAATGTTTATTAAGCACCTACTGAGCAATGTGCTAAACCTTGGAGAAACAAAGGAGAAAAGACAGGGGCCATGCCTTCTACCTAAAATGTGTAGATAGATTTAAGCCTACGAATATAGAGATGGAAGAGTTTACTTATCATCCATCTATCCGTCTGTCCGTCCATCCATCCATCCATCCATCCATCCATACATCCAGTGGAGAGGATCTCTTTATGTACCATGCGCAGTGCTAGATACAGACTCTGCCTTTAAGGAGTCTACTGCCTACTGGGGTAGAGAGACCTGTAATTAAATTTCACTGCACTCCAGTGTGAGATGTGTGATAATAGAGCTAAATACAAAGTGCAAAAGTAGCATAGACACTGTGTGGAGGATGTGGTTAGGGAAGGATTTTCAGAAGACCTATGTAGAATCTTGGCTGGATATGAAGGCTGAATAGAATTTGCTACTCAGAATTTGTCTGTGGTCCAGAACAAAGTGGGAGGCCTCACACTACCTGATTTTAGAACCTGTTATACCACCGTGGTAGTCAAAACAGCCTGGTACTGATACAACAACAGATACATAGACCAATGGAACAGAATCGAGAATCCAGACGTAAATTCATCCACCTATGAGCAGCTGATATTTGACAAAGGCCCAAAGTCCGTTAACTGGGGAAAAGACAGTCTCTTTAACAAATGATGCTGGCATAACTGGATATCCATCTGCAAAAAACTGAAACAAGACCCATACCTCACACTACGCACAAAAACTAACTCAAAATGGATC